GAGAGTCCTGTGTTTGGTTCCCGCTAAGGGCACGTACCTGGCTTGCAGTTTGTCCCCGGCTCCGGGTGGGGTCGTGTGGGTAGCAGCCACTCGATGTGTCTCTCTCATCTCTCTCTCACCCTCTTTTTCTCCTGCTCTATCTGAAGATAAATGCAAAAATGTCCTCCATTGAGGATAAAAACAACAACATCCAAGCTGTGGTACATTTGCACAATGGAATACTACTCTGCCCCCCTTTTTTTTATCCTCATCTGAGGACATTTCTTGCATTTATCTTCAGATAGAGTGGGTAGGAGAGAGGAAGGAAGAGAGAGAGAAAAACATCGATGTGAGAGAGACACATCAAGTGGTTGTCACCCACACGACCCCAACCAGGGCCCTAGACAAACTGCAAGCAAGGTAGGCACGTACCCTTAGTGGGAACCGAACCCTGGACTCTGGTTCAGGCCGATGCTCTAACCGCTGAGCCAAACCGTCCAGGGCTATTCTGCCCTTTTTGATAGCATGGATGGAACTGGAGAACATTATGCTAAATAAAATAAGCCAGTCAGAGAAAGACAAGTACCATATGATTTCACTTGTATGCAGAATTGAAAAAAATTTGAACTGCCAAAGCAAAATAGAGACACTCAGAGAGAGCAGGCAGATGGAGGTGGGTGGTGGGGGTGGGGTAGATGGGTTGAGCTATAATGAAAGATAACCAAATGACATGGACAACAGTGGTGATTGTGGGGTGGAGGGCATGGGTGGTGGTGGAAGACAGCATATAGGGGATAAATGGTGATAGAAATAATAAAGTAAAATTGCATTAAAAAAAAAAGAACCAGTGAATGCACAGATAGATAGAACAACAAGTTGATGTATCTCTTTCTCTCTTCTCCCTCTAAAATCAATAAATATAAAATTTTAAAAATTGAACCACAATACCAAGATTGGGCTAGTCTAACTCAGGCTTAATTGTCTCCTAATAAAAGTTATGTTAGACCCTGGTCAGTTTGGCTCAGCGGTTGAACGGTGGCCTGCAGACCAGAGAGTCCCAGGTTCGGTTTCCGCTAGGGGCACATACCACACACAAAACAAGTTATTGAGGTCTAACTCTTTTTACTCTCCACTGATGTTTTTGGAGCTATTTCTACCACTGTCTTTGAGTAACTACATAATCATTAATAGCACTCTGTAAATTGCATTTCACAAGTTTCTATATCAGTTCCTCATTCCCAAGAGTCCCAGAAATCGCTAGAGAAATGGTAATCTCTTCCCTGCAAGATGTGATGAGATGATGGTGTTTGGATACTCTCTTTGAACATGTCCTGTGCCAGGGAACACTAGTCTCTCTTCCATACCCAAACAGAATGTGATAAGGTGTTCTTTGTTTGAGAAATATGTCAGATTCCCAAAGGAACTGAATATATCTTAGAATGTTGAGTAGGAAATGCTAAGTGATACACAACATTGTTCTATGGCTTGGACTCTGTCACTGAAGATACAGGCACGACAGATGTTCTCTGTGGGAACCAGAGGCAGAGATAACTCGTTTTCTTTCCTACCTCAAGGCAGCCTGAATCCCTTCTTATCTTCCAAGGCATGGCCCACACTAATTGTATAGTTACAGAATTCCCTATTGCTTCAGGCTCCATGCACTTTAATTGGCAGAAAATGGTTAACATGTTCCAGCTAATTGTGGATGCATTTTGTGTCTGAATCAGAATATATGTCCAATTGGAATTGTAGTCTTTGGGAATAATTGAAATACTTTGCATCTCAGGGAACATTCTGAGATTCATAGAGTCCGAAATAATGCCTCCAAATAAGTCATAAGTTACAGAAAACTCCGGAAAGATTCAAACGAGTTGTCATTTTCCAGCAGTGCTGGCGCGTCACACCTTTCCTCTCCCAGATCAGTGACTGGTGCTAGCGCCCCATGTGCAGATGAGGACACTGCATTTCCCACTGGGCAAGGTGCCCAATGATGGCGGCATTCAACTAATAAAAGCAGCAGATGGCCATTTGCTTGTGTGTTAATTGGGTTAAGGAGGAACTCTCCAGGTCATCCTCCTGGCACACTTTGACCTCTCCGGTTTGTTCACCGAGTCAGAGATTGCAGAGCACTTGAGGGCCACAGAGGACTCGTCCCCGCTGGACAGAGGCGGGTATGAGGCTTGGCAATCGGCACCTGGCCGGGATTGGGACCTCGGTGCTTCACAGACTCAACTGAGTCCCCTGAATCTAAGGCTGACAGCTGCAGTGAAACGCCCCTCTGAGGTGAGTGCAGGACATCGCTCTCATCGCCTCACACCCCCATCCCCAACATCGCAGCCCCAGGAGAGGGGCTCTTGACAACTACTGCAGCTAGACTCCAGCGTTCAGGACAAGGAGACGCTCTTCTGTGACACACGGTGAGACTCAGGAGAAGGTGACAGGCTGAGGAGCCGCCATGTAAAGACACACAGGGTCCACTAAGCCAGGAAGCTTCCAGAAACTTTGCCCTGTTTTCTGTTTAAAGGCAACAGAGGAGATGAAGGGAAGTTGTGCCTGAGCAGTTTTACTTTCATTCTCAGGGCACTTGAGGTCGTGGAAACTAGTTGAAGGGTCGTGAACAAGAGAGGGACACTGTCAGGTCAGGTTCTAACGTTTCCCCAAAACTGCTCAGAGGAAGAACAGATTAGAAGGGCGAAGAGCGCAGGTAGGGGCAGGAGGTGAAGTCCTGTAAGAGACAATGTGACTGACAAGAGTGTGCACTGAGGATGAGACCCTGAGGCAGTGCAGGCATCTCGAGGTCACCTGGCCCCGGGGCTGGGCAGGGGCACTGAGCGGCCTGAGCCCAGGGACCCTGGCGGTGGTTGCCAGGTTCTCAACAGACCTTTGTCTTTGCACAGATTCCTGCACCTGCAGAATCGCTCAGAGTGCTGGTTCATGGAGCTTATTTCAGGGCCTCACACTCATGGACTCTGACATAGTGGTGTCCTGGGGGTGTTGTACAGCTCTTCCAGCCCTTAGGCCTTGGGACCTTGAACAGACCCCAAGCCAAGGATCCTAAGTCAAGGTCTAGGGTTATATAAAATGGTTCTGGTTTTTTGCAGCCAGTGAAATAAGATGTGGGAGATCCTCCCAGGTGTCGGTACCAGACTGTACAAAGGCTTGGAGGGAAAGCTGAGCTGGTTCAGGGACCTGAATGTATCCTTTCATTTTTGTGGGACCTGGGAACTGTGGGAGGTGTCAGGTCTAGATTAACAGTGTGACAAGTTGGGTGTCTGATCTGCAGAGGATGGAAGCATTGAGAGATTTGGAGTAGTAGAGGCAGGTAATGTGTCCCACGTCTCTTTAGACTCCCTGAGGCTGCAACATGGAGAACTATGGGTGTGAGGGTGGTGGTAGAAAAATGTGTGAAGAGGCTGCTGCTATAGTTTTAGTGAGTGATGGTGGCCATAGAGGTGGGAGAATCAGTTGGATTCTGGGTGGGTGTTTTAGGTGTGGCCACCTGGATTTTCTAATTTGAGATTAAGACACAGAAAGTTAGTCAGGTATGACTTGAAGGTTTGTTTTCAGCAGCTGGAGGTGTGGACACACCATCAACTGAGATGAGGAAATCTATAGTAGTGAGAGGAATTTCCACTGGGGATATAAGGGGTTTTGTTTTGTCTTGTTAAGGGTATGAGATGTTTCTGAGAGCAGTATTGTGTGTGTCTGGAACTCTGAGGAGAAGGTCAGGATGGAGATTTCTCCAAAAAATAGTGGACAGGGTATGGGCCAGAGAGGAATTGTAGGTCACTGATATGGGGAAACATGGTCAGGATGAAAATGGTAGTAGTAGCCTAGGAAGAAGAGGATGGGTTAGAGGACCAGTATTCTGCTGGGGCCTATGGTTGTTGGAAGTGTGTATCAACACAGGTTAAGGACAGAAGTGGTCACGTTGAGGGTCGGGGAGAGTGTGTATACTTTGGCAATTGGCCAAGGCCTTTAAGGGACGATTGGATGTGAGCTTGATTGGAGGTAAAAGTAATTCACACAAAATGACACTGGAACTGGTGGGTATTCACTGCTCTACAGACTCACCAGGATCTAGTTGTGACCCTTGGTGTGGCCTGAGGTGTTGCATTCAGGCTGGCGGATCACCTTAGGGTCATAAGTGGTCACTGAGGATGGGGTAGAATGCCACGGGGATAGGCTTTGAGTGAGTGTGAGGTGGAGAGAGGAAAGCTGGGACTGTTGAAGGGACATAAAGTACAGCACCGATGGAGGAGGGCTGAGCATACCTGAGATCTGATGTGCTTGATAGGTGAGTTTGATGTAAGGACCATTCAGGAAGGGAGGCCTTCATAGGATTGAAGGCTGCCTCTGTGAGTGTGGACCATCAAATTCTGGGTAGTATTTGATCCTGTTTGAATTGACCAAGCATTCCCTGGACCACAAATACTGAGTGGCAGGTACAGAGGCCAAGGAGATGACTATAGTGCAGGGCAGGGGAAGGCAGAGGATGTGGGATTGTAGTTGTTTAAGAGGTGTGATAGGCAGAGTGATGTGCACTTACAGAGGGAGTGTGACTAAATGGCCTCAGGGCCTTGGCATTAATACAAGAGTGAATGAGGGTGAGCCCTTTTCTTGTGGTGTCTGAAGGAAACAGTATGGGGATCCCCTTGGGAATTGCCTCAAAAGAAGGGGTGTTGTGGTTCTACATGCGAGGTTAGAGCTTAGATGTCATTTATCTGCCCACCTGCCTGTTTTAGTTGAGGGATGTTAACAGTGATCAATACGACATCAATGACATAGCATACATCTGTGCCACATAGACTTGAAAATCTCCACTGGCATGGGCAAGGGAGAACAGTAAACGGTATAGATTACTCAGGTGGTGAAATTAGAATCCTGGGAAAGAAGCTAATCAGCAAACAAACTGTCCTATTCATGGCTGTGTTACCTGTCAAGTTGTACCTCAGGTAATGTAGCTGTGTAAGAGGTTCAAAGATTTACGTGCAGGGGGTAGTGTAAACTGATGGCCCCAGGGACTTGGGACTGGTGTGAAAAGGGTGAGGGGTGGTGCTATGTTTTTGAATCTTGGAGGGAGAATCGAGGGGACCAAAGGTGCGTTGCCTGACAAGACCAGTGTTTAATCACTCACATCCTATCTATGGCCAACTTATCTCTCTACCCTATGTTTGCGACATCCACTGTGATAAGAAGCAGTGTGGCCTACATGCCAGACCTAGAGCTCAGTTATCATCTATCTGCCCATCTGCTTATTGTTTCGGGAAGACACAGTATCAATGGGAATATAAAAAAAGCGTGAGTCCAATGGCACCAAGGCCTGGAATCTTCTCGGAGGTGGGGAGTAGAGGGAGGAAATGGATGTGGAAGATGGGAGTATGACAAAGTAAAAATCCTAGTAGAGAAGCTGGTCATGGACTGAACTCTCTCCATTGTGACAGGATCTGCACTTCAAAGACATGGCTGTTGCCTTCTCCCAGGAGGAGTGGGGGCTCCTTGATGAGGCTCAGAGACTTCTGTACTGCGATGTGATGCTGAGAATCTATGGACTTGTAGCATCCATGGGTAAGACCTTCACGTCTCTCTTAGTGTCCTAAGATGATGTTGTGCCTTCTCTTTTTTCTCCTTAGGTAGTTTTTGTTTCATAGCCAGACCATGGGTTCTGCTAATTTCTCACTTTCTTGTCATGTGCTGTGGCTGCCAGTGCTGGTCTGTGTGGAGGGCCGTAAGCAGTGGACACTCCAGCAACTCTAACACCTATTTCCTCAAAAAGTGCAGGAAGTGTCTGGGAGTCGGGAGTCTTGCAGACAGTTTCATGGATCCCAGCTTGCTTCCCCTCCCCTTGGCAGGGAGACTGTCTCCAGATCCATGGCCTCCAGTTCTACTCCTGGCTGTAGCTAACAGTTCTTTGTGACAGCCTGTGCCAGGTCATGGTCATTACGTGAACTATAACTGGACTTGTACGATCTACCTTCAGTTGTTTCTAATACTGTTTTCCCTGAATACTGTTGTATCCTGAGTTGCTCCTGGTCAGTGCTGGCTGCTCACTTCTGTTGTCTTACATTAAGAGTCATAAAATAGATCAAGAGACATAGAAGTAGGGTGCAGATGGACAAACCTCAGAAGAGGGGGGAAGGGGCGGTAAGAGATAAACCAAGGAACTTATATGCATATATGCATAACCAATGGACATAGACAACAATGCCGGGGGTGAGGGAGGAACCAGAGGAGAGTATCAATGGGAGAAAAAGGAGAAATATCTATAACAAAAATAAATTAATAAAAAACATACTTAGTAAAAAACAAGTCACATCATTTAGGCTCTGAATAGTCGTAGAAGATGCAACTACTATGAGGATAGAAGCTGCAGGGAGAACCTTGTTTGTTTTTTTCACACAGTGGGCACAGCAAGATGGTCTTAAAGGAGGCCTCACCATGATGATGGGTGACTGTTGGAGGACATGACATAAGGGGCTGTATTCAGATCATACCAGGAACCAGTCCTCTGTCCTATAGTGTTTTTCGTGTAAGTTCTACAGGCCACACCTCATTTCTACCTTTTCATTTTTATACTTGACACTTTTTTAAAAATTAATTAATTAATTAATTAATTTTTTGGTATGTACCCTTAATGGGAACCGAACTCGGGACTCTCTGGTCCGCAGGCCAATGCTCTAACACACCTTTTTTTTTTTTATCCTCACCCAAGGACATTTTTCCACTTTTGTTCAGGTAGAGTAGGAGGGAGAGAGAGGAAGAGAGAGAGAGAGAAACATCAACGTGAAAGGGATACATTGAGTGGATGCCACCTGCATGACCCAACCAGGGCCCGGGGACAAATTGCAACCTAGGTACGCGTCCTTAGCAGGAACCGAACCTGGGTCTCTCTGGACTGCAGGCCAACACTAACCGCTGAGCCAAACTGGCCAGGGCCTGACACACCTTTTTAATGGGACTTGCCCCTTCCACTAATGTCAACATCCTTTTCATCAACATTTTTTTTTTTCTAATTTTTATCCTCACCTGAGGACATTTTTGTATTTATTTCCAGATAGAGTGGGAGGGAGAGAGGGAGGAAGACAGAAAGAGAAACATCAACATGAGAGAGACACATCAAGTGGCAGCCACCCACACAACCCCAACCAGGGCCGGGGACAAATCAACTGAGGTATGTGCCCTTATCAGGAACCAAACCCAGGACTCTCTGATCCACGGGCTAACGCTCTAACCGCTGAGCCAAACTGGCCAGGGCAACTTTTTTTTTTTTTTTTTTGCTTTCAGGTTTCTGGCATGAATCAGAAGATCAGGAGGCCCTTTCTGAGCACAGTGTGTCTGTAGAAGGGGAGTCACAGGTCAGGGCTTCCACGACAGCTCCAGCAACCTAGAACACCCATCCCTGTGAGTAGTGCATCTCAGTCTTCAAATTTGTTTTGCACCTGACAGAGTTCCAAGCAGCATACCTCAAGCTGAAAGGATTCTTCAGAGACACATGTGTGAGAGCTTTCTTTTTCAGTGCAAATGTTAAGCAGCGACAGAGGAATGCCACTGGAGAGAAGCCCTGGAGAAAAGACAGGACCTGGGTTGTGACCAGGAGCAGCTTGTACATATCTGGGGCATCTTCCACCTGTACGGAGGTTTGCAAGGTATTCCCAGCCATATCAGGCCACTCTTAACACCTGGAGGAGCGATACAGTGGCAGTAGCAGTGACAGTGAACAGGCCTTTCACACAGGAAAAAGTCATCAGGAGTGGGATGAATGTGAAAAAGCTGTCCACCAAGACATGTGTTCAACCTCAGAGTGTCTGCTCTGGAGAAGGGCTTTATGAATGTAATGAATGTGAGAAAGCCTATAGACAAATCTTTCACCCCACTCAACATAGGAGAGTTCACACTGGAGAAAAGAATTATAAATGTAGTGATTCTGGGAAGTCCTTCAGCAAAAACTCTGGCTTCAATGAACACCAGAAAGGTCACAATGGAGAAAAACCATATGACTGCAGTGTTTGTGGGAAATGCTTTCAGTACAAATCTATACTTATTATTCACCAATGTGCTTATTCTGGAAAAAAGCTCAATGAGTATAATGAATATGGGAAATCTTTTAGACATAAATCTCTTCTTGTTTTTTTTAAATTTTTTTAATCCTTACCCGAGGACATTTTTGCATTCATCTTCAGATGGAACAGGAGGGAGAGAGGGAGGAAGAAAGAGAGAAACATTGATGTGAGAGAGACACATCAACTGGCTACCATGCACATGACCCCAACCAGGGCCGGGACAAACTGCAACCGAGGTATGTGCCCATAGCAGGAACTGAACCCAGGTCTCTCTGGACCTCGGGCCAACGCTCTAACCACTGATTCAAACCAGCTAGGGCCAGATTTCTTCTTAAACACCAGAGGTTTCATACTGGAGAAAGACCCTATGCAGATAGTGGATCTGGAAAATTTCTAGCCACAAATCTCACCTCTTGAGAAATCACAGTAGAGAAAGGTTCTGTGGGTGTCGTGATTATGGAAAGTTTCAGCCAAAGCTCCCCTCATCAAACACCAGAGAGTTCACACTGGAGAAAAGCCTTATTAGTGTAATGAATGTGGGAAATCTTGTACTTGCAAATCTAATCTCCTTAGACACCAGAGAGTTCACACTTGAGATAAGCTTAAATTTTCAGGGAATGTTTTATTTCCTCATTCAGTATAACAACATTGTGAAACCCATTTACCTGAATTTAAACCTTTTACCAGAATGTACACACTGCTAGATTCCTAAGTTTCAGGTAGAAGTGAGTCTTTAAGGAGCTGCATGGCACTTTCTAACTTGCCCTGGGCTATTAGAGTGATGTCACTGCCACTTTTTGTGACCATTTTATCTCTACATCCTGGCTCACCTGCACAGTATGTCTCAGTCACAACTGCATGCCCAGGGAAGCTGACTTGATTGAGAAAATTATGAATAAGCTAAGCTCTTGGTGAGATCCTCATTCTTTTCTCTCTGACTTGGGAATGGACCTAGTGTTGGTGCAGGAGACCCATCCTCAGCTAAGAGGGGCTACCTCTTTTAGGGACATTGTTCTTATATTATGCTGTGATGAATTTTTCTAGGTTCTCATTTACCAACTTGGAAACTGATTGCTCTGGGCTGCTCTGGTTTATAATCTTTTTGTAAAGGTCATTTTGCTTGTACTACCTTTTATTTCGGTTGATCTATTCACTGCGTGGGATGATATGAAAGCAGAATTGTGATCTGTACGCATTTAGAGTGGAACTTTCTGTGCTTTGGAAGGGACAGTGTGGTGGGAGGATATTGTTTTTGGTTTTTGTTTGCTATTGGTTTATTTTGCATCGTTGTCCAAAGCCTTGAAAGAAAGACTGCATTATCTGTGGTTCTTATTTCAAACCTGGTGCTGCCACAATTATAGAGGAGGTCATAGTTAACCTTGAAGAAGAGGCCTTTGTTGTGCTTCTGTGAACAATATGAATTTTGTTCCCTGGATCGTAAAATTCCAAGCAATGTTGAGGGAACTCCTCCCCATGTGTTTCCAAGGAGCCATGTGCCATGGTGTATGAAATTTCATACACTGGTGTCATTTATTGTAAGACTGTGAGGGTTATGTAGAACCACACTTGGGGGAGAAACACTGTATTAATAGTGAGTGGAAGAAACTGCAGTAAATTAGGTAGAAGGTGCCTCTTTCTGAACAAAGTTTATCCACAAATGTTTCAGAGACTGTGGCTTGTGTGACCTGTGGTCACAGACATTCTCATGACCTTTATAACTGTTTCTAACAGATTTGTGGATTCCCCTAGATGCTCTGGTGTTTTCTCCTCAAGGCCATTTCTCTACAGGCCAGAAAAGAAAGAAGGAAGGGAGGACCTTCACAGCCCTGGTATTCCTCCAGATCTTTTTTCCTTTAATTCTCACCTGAGGATCTTTTTTTCTCATTTATATTTAGAGAGAGTGAAAGGGAGAAAGGGGATGAGGGGGAGAGAGACAGAGATAGAAACATCAATATGAGAGTGACACATTGACTGGCTGCCTCCAGCATGACCCCGACCAGGGCTGGGGACTGAACTGCAAATGAGATACATGCCCTTGACTGGAGTCGAACCCATGACTCTTTGGTCTGCAGGCTGACTGACGCTCCAACCGCTGAGCCAAACCGGCTAGGGCTGACCCATTAATCTTTATACTTCACTTCAGTTCATTGTAATTCAGCTTTTCTGAGCTTAATTTGGAAGGATAGTGATTATTTGTTTATAATACAATTGTGGGACTAAAATGTGGTCTTCACAATTATAGCGACTGAGTATAGTATATATGCCCCTTGTAATATTTTGCCGTGTCTGCAAGTAGTAGGGAAGAGTCTGGTATTTGAAGTGAAATTCCTGGACATATAGGTGTTCAGTCAGTACTTCAAATGGGTTAACTAAATTGTCCCTGAGTGACTGGACTATATGGACATTAAGAGATAGGACATTTGACCAAGGGTTCTCAAGGTATTCTGAACATTTTGCTGATTTTATTTCTTTTTTTTTTTTTCCTTTATTGATTTTAGAGAGGAAGGGAGAGGGAGAAAGAGATAGAAACATTGATGAGAGAGAACATTGATTGGGCACCTCCTGCATGCCCCCTACTGGGGATTTGGCCCACAACCTGGGCATGGTGGGAATGAACCGGTTACCTCCTGGTGCGTGGGTGGACGCTCAACCACCAAACCATACCAGCCAGATTGGGTCTGTTTTCAACAACAACAACAAAAAACTTTAAAAAGTAAAAAGAAGTTAATAGATAAAAAGCTTATAGAGCCCTGGCCGGTTTGGCTCAGCGGTTAGAGCGTTGGCCTGCGGTCCAGAGAGACCTGGGTTCGGTTCCCACTAAGGGCGAGTACTTCTGTTGCAGTTTGTCCCCGGCCCTGGTTGGTCGTGTGGATGGCAGCCACTCGATGTGTCCCTTTCACGTTGATGTTTTTCTCTCTCTCTTTCCCTCCCACTCTATCTGAACAAAAAATGGAAAAATGTCCTCGGGTGAGGATAAAAATGAAAAACAAAAAAAAACTTATAGAACAAGGATGTAAAGAAAATGTTTTGGTACAGCTGTACAATGTGTGTTTTAAGCTACGTGTAATTATAAGATTTGAGCTTTTTTTTTACGTTAGGTGTAAAAAGTAAAGTGGAGCTTTGACATATGGATAAGGCTGTGAAACTGTCATACATAAAATGAACTTATCTGTCTTCTATGTACATATTTACCTCCTACCTTTTTAGAATCTTTCTCCTGCCCTGACTGGTTTGGCTTAGTGGTTACAGCATCGGCCCATGGACCGATGAGTCGTGGGTTTGGTTACGGTCAAGGGCACTTACTTCGGTTGCAGTTTGTCCCAGGCCCTGGTCGAGTCGTGCAGGAGGCAACCAGTCGATCTGGCTCTATCACATTAATGTTTCTCTCTGTCTCTCCCTCCCTCTCTATCTGATAATAAGTAGAAAAATATCGAGTGAGAAATAAAAAAAAAAAAAAGAAACTTTCTCCCTGCCTTTTCCATCCCTCCAGGCAGTCATTGATTTATGTTTTATAATATATTAGTTCATATTTTTCATCTATTTATAGGCAATATATGTTATATGCCCTTTAACGAATACTGGTTTCCTTTACACTGCACAGTTATTTTAAAATTAAACAGTAATGCTTATGTTTATACTTCTTTTTTTTTTTTTTGTGGTACATGCCCCTAGCGGGAACCGAACCCAGGACTCTCTGGTTCACAGGCCAACGCTCAACCACTGAGCCAAACTGGCAAGGGCTGTAGTTAATTCTTCTTATTGCTGAATATTATTTTGTTCTATGGATAACCACTTTGTTTAACTATTGATCTTTCTATGGTTTGGGTTATTTCCAGTTTTGGGGTATTATAAAAAAAGCTACTATAAATATTTATATTTAGTTTTTTGTATGGATATATGTTTTTTTTTTAAAAGATTTTTTTCTTTATTGATTCTAGAGAGACAGGGAGAGAGAGATAGAAACATCGATGAGAGAGGACATCCATTGGCCTCCTCCTGCTTGCTCCCCACTGGGGATTGGGCTCACAACCTGGGCCTGTGCCCTGACCAGGAATCAAACCAGTGACATCTTGGTGCATGGGTCAACACTCAACCACTGAGCCACACTGGCCAGATTGTTTTATTTATTTTTTGTTAATCCTCACCTGAGGATATTTTCCATTGATTTTAAGATAGAGTGGAAGGGGAGGGATGAAGGGAGAGAGAGAAACATCAGTGTGAAAGAGACACATCATCTGGTTGCTTCCCGCACACACCCTGACCAGGACAGGGGATTGAATCTGCAACCCAGGTACATACCCTTGACCAGGAATTGAACCCGTGACCCTTCCATGTCTTGAC